TGCTAGGCAGGCGCTATCCCTGAGCTACATCCCTGGTTCCTCCCTTCGCTACTATACCAAATCAAATCTGCCAAATAAAGCCGGGCAAAGGGCAACTCTAACCCAAGTACCTGGGCAGATGAGGCTGGAAGATTGAAAATTTGAGTCCCATCTGCACGATTTAATGATACCCTATAGCTCAGCGGCAGAGCACGCCTGGATTCAATACACTGTACCAAGAAATAAGCACACAAATAAATACATTTAAATAAATAATTCACTGGTTCCCGGTACTGGAGAAAAACCAAAATAAATAAATAAATAAATAATTCACCTCCGCCCGAACTGTAACAGAGTTTGGCTCATACCCCTACTCTCAGCAGTTTCTGAACCAAATGGGTCTTCAGGACTTTAACCACCATCCTATTATTTTTTTTGGATTGTTTGTAGTAGCGTCTGTTGATTTGCTTCGGTTTTGCTTGTGAAGCACGGGTCTCGATATAACCTAATCTTGCCTCAAAATTTGGTAGCTAGCTCCTGCTGGCTTTGGGTTCGAAATCCCGCAGCCTCAGCCCTCCCACCGCAGCTGTACCCCCTGTGTCACCGCGCAGCGCCCTGTTCATCCCCAACTCTTGTGCTGCGCTGTGGGGTCTCCATGGAACCGCTTCAGGCCTGCGAACCCCGGCGCCCACGCAGCTGCGCACTCCGCTTCTGGTAGAAAATCCGGCTCCCAGGCCAGGGCGGTGCAAGACACCTGCCCGCGAGTGGTGAGGACGTATTCTGCTTCCCACCTCACACTGTCCTCGCCTAGGACGGCACAGCTTCCAGAAGGGACCGACCTGGGCTAAAGCTGCCCCTGGGAGCTGACGCTTTGCACAGGATTCATTCCTGATTCCGAGCTGGAAGTTTTTCTGGCTCCAGCTAAGGCCTTCCTGTTCTCTGCAGAACCACTTTTTCTCTTGGGAGCTTCGATGTCCACTCAAGCTCTGTCCCCTCAAGCTCCACCCTGCACCTCTCCTCTCTTAGGACATTTGTTTCCCTTCTCCCTGGCAAATCGCTCAGCATCAGTGACCCTTCAGGGATCCTAAACTACCTGTAAATAAATCCCCCTGCAGAGAGACTTAGAGCCAAAAGGAAGTAAATCTCGGACTCGCGATGGTGTGTTCACCTCACCTGCTGCGAGGTAGTCAAAGGGCGACTTAAATACGTCCACCCTCCTCAGATGGGTGAGGCTCAAAATCACCTCAGGAACATCTTCCTAAACCCCACTCCCAGCTCACTGCTTCGCCTTCCTCTCCTGAAGGTCCTGGGACTGGGGAAGTGGCTCAAGGGCAGAGCTCTTCCTTCCATTCACTAGGCCCAGGGTTCCATCCATAGCATCACGGAGAAAGGGAATTAACTGTGTAACCTTTGTATGGTCTCCCTGGTGTGAGAAATTGCAAAAGTATGTAAAGTCTAAAATGTACAATAGATATTGTAAAATGGGAAGAAATTGTCAAAAAAGAAAAAGGAACTAGGATGGGAGAAAGGAAGGAATGGAAAGGGAGAAAAATACAAGTTCTTTATATTATTAACGTCCTGTAGTTCATAGAAAAGGAAGGTTTGTGCTAGTATCCACTGGAGAATTTTTTATGCCCATATCTTGTATTCTGAGCAACTACTTTAAAGATAATAATATGCAATGTATTAAATATTGTTACTTTCCTATCATCTGGTTTGGAAATTTTATTAGAGCTGTAGGTTTTTTCGCTTTTTTTTTTTTTCTTCCTATCTCACTATGCAGTTCAGGTTGTATTTTAGCTCATTTGGTATCCCTCGCTGGCCTCAAACTTGCAGTGATCCTCCTGCCTCAGCCTCTCGAGTGTAGGGATAACAGGTGCGTACCACCATAACCAGCGTTACATCTTCTTGATAAAATTAACAAAATGAGAAATTCCTCCAGGGAACCACTGTCCTTCACTTTCCCCTGAAATCGGGCATAGCACCCTACTTCTTAGCTATGGCACAAACAGGACACAGAGGCACAAGGCAGAAACCTGCCCCCATAGTACCCATGAAAACAAGTGGTGTTCAGAGTCCAAGGGAGCTGGGCACTTTAAGCCAAGCATGGGGGTGCACAGTGCTACCCTAGAACTCTGGGTGCCTGAGGCATGAGGACTGCACCTT